CAAAACTGCCAAAATTACATGCGTACCGCTAGAGGAAAAATAGCTATCTTTTGTAATACTCACTTTGGAAATGGTCTCACTGAAGTAATTTTAACATGGTTTCTTTCTTCCCAAAATAGGCATAGCAAATCCAAGTCTTCACCTTGCTACATATTAGGTAAGTATGTTTTGTCACCTATTCTTTTCAGTTTCAAGTCGAAGAAGTAGAAAGTTTCGTTTTTGTAGTGTTGGATATTTCGCTATCCAGGACAAGAAGATGAGCCATTGAATTCTATCTAGGAGTTGACAAGCAATATTACTGAGTGACAAGGGTTTCTAATGGCTGCTTATATCAATCTGTGGATTTTGATATCCAGGTTTAATTCCTTTCAACGCTGAAAGGGCGTTTTAATGGTTTGTTGTCTAAACGGTTAGCTTTAGAGAAGTGAAACCAAGCCTGGAATTGTAAATAGTTCGCAGATAGTTAATACAATCTAATTTTACGACGAAGCCTCATATTTCTGTCATATCCTCTGTGAATATTTATGGTAAAGTGAGACTTAAACAGGCATCTGTGTATTGACTGTACATATAAATAGGAAAAATATGGTTTATGGTAATGAGGAACCGGTTTTAGTTTTTCACTTATCTTAGATTTGTATTTATCTGATACGCTCCAAGTTATGTGTGGCAAAACGATAGGTAGCCCGTTACAAGCTGATTTAATATAGTAATGAGACTGTTGTGTCTTTTGTTTTAGTTTGGTAAATCCTCCTATCTAATAGTTTACCAGTTAAGCTATGATACGATTCAAACCTTTTATGTATAGTAGAGTTAAACGAGCTTTTCTCTAAATTTTTAGATATTCATGACTTTTTTGCATATGTTTGGCCCTTAATCACCTTTTTCGCTTTTTTCTATTCCTTTTCAACAACTTAAACTTATGTAAGCTTCTATTAGTTTCTCGGTTAAACTCAAACCAATTATTATTGTCTTACTTCACTTGCACCTATATAAATTTGGTAAATCTGCGTTAAAAAGTACACACAGGAATCGCTTCTTTTTACGCTAGATTATTTCGTAATACTTGAACAACTTTGGACTGTTAGATTAACTGGTGTCATGACAATAAGTATTAATCTAATATGATTAAAGTATTTAGTTAGATGCGCAAAAGTCGGTTAGATGTTCGTCACTGGTATTCTCCTTTGGAATGATTTCACATGCACAATTATGTTATATATCGGTTTTTGTAGTTTTATTGCACTTAAATATTGATTGGTAATGAATGAATAGGTAATCCGTGGATACATTAAAACACCGAGAAGTACCTTCAAAGGATTTCTTCAGAATTTAAGATCTTTCATGAACATATAACCGTTGGAAAATTCAAGAGTAGCATGTAATACTTCATGACGCTGTCTTCTGTGCCACAACATATTTAATGAATAGACTTAGAATTGATTCACCATCCAAGGAGACATCAAAATATTTATGTAAGGCAATCTGTATTAAGAGGTATGTGGTATCCTGCTGAGTTTCTAAGTATTATGTAAAGATTGATACATACTGAGTTTAGTAAAAACTGAGTTTTATTCCGTAACTTGGGAGTTACACATTGTTTTATTAAATTTTAAGGTGTGTGGACGGTATATGCTTTTCGGAAGTGGAAAAATTCTGACTCACACATCTTATTTTTGAAGATCACGCAGCAAACAGTGAGAAGCGAGAAGATGAGCATACGCTAGACGCACCGATGAAAAGACACTACAAGATTTGGAGTTCACTCATGATGATTTATGTCTAATATCTTCTGGCATAAACTCGAAGATCTACAGGCGAAAACTAACAAGTTGACTGAAGAGGTAACGATGACGGGTCTTCCTTCAGGTGAACATAGAGAAGACAGAGGAGATGAAGATACCCAACCAACAGCAGCATCAACGACAAGCACCAATCACCATAAAAGGGAGAAATCTGAAGGAAGTAGTCTCTTTCACCTACCTACCTAGGCGAGAAAGCATCATTCCAACTACAGGCGGTGGCGGTGGCACAGATGAGGCTGTCAAAAGCAGGATTTGGAAGATAGCAACAGAGGCCTTCAATAGTCTGAAACCGGTGTGGACATCTACTGCACTCAGTATAAAGTGTGAACAACATTTGGATTTTCAAAACTAATGTCAGTCAAGTCAGTGCTTCTGTGTGATGGTTGAGAGACTTGACGCGTTGCGAAAAGCATTTCGAACAAACTACAGACATTCGTCGACAGCTGCCACCTACACTCACTCACTCGATACCGATGATCAGATGAGATGAGATGAGATGAGATGGCCAGAAAGAATAAGCAGCCAGGAACCCATCGTCAAACAAATATTCAGAAGAAAGTGGAGATGGATTGGATTGGACATACACTGAGAAGACGGTTTGGTGACATCACGCGTCAGGCCACACCAGGCCGTTGAGTGGAACCCGAATGGGAAGCGGCAAGTTGGGCGTCCGAGGTGAGGGTGACAGGGAGGAGATTGTGTGAGGGGGAAATGAGAGCTTGTGGGCAGTGGTGGAGCCGGTTCAAGAGACTGCAGAAAACAGAGTGAAATGGCGACGTGGTATTGAAGCCCTATGTTCCACTACTAACCCAAGGGACAAATAATAATAATGATAACAATAATTTTTGAAGATAGTGGAGTTTTAGTCGTAACTAAAACGCCACTCGGCGGTTGTTTTCTGTGTATAAAGTTAATAATGTGACCCACCAACTAATTGACAGCTTACTCATTGCGTCCAGTTACATATATTATGTGAACGTTATCATTTCAACTTGGCTGTTTTTGAAACCGTAACAGAAGGTAAGTTGAAATCCACCAGCTGCATTTGTCGGAAGTCGAATACATAAAACAAGTTACCTTTGCAGTTTTCGACATGAAGGTGAGTGTGAGTTGATCTATCTGTTATTTAATTTTTTTCTTGTTGTATTTACGTAAAAAATTGACTGAAATTAACTTTTTTTTTACCTTTATTTTAGCTATTTACCTTACTACACTTATTCTTTACTCAGCCACAGCATGCGCTTACACTGCGTTTATCATCTTCTATGGATTACCTCGTCAGTGTACATTAAACTTAACCGTGACTGGTATTAATGCAGGTCTGACATTGTTATTTGCTCTATGTTCTGCATTTTCTACTATATGTAAGTTATGTTATCACTGTTATTAATGCAATTTTGACCATTTATTCCACTGAATTGTTAACCTTTTTTATGTTCACTGTTTATGAGACATTTTCTCGAAATTCGTTGCAAGCAAACTAGTATGCTGATTAGCTACAGCTTCCCATGGATGGCGTTTTATCCATTAGCATGGATCGAATTCTTCTGACTCACAAAATGATAGAAACATCCACCTTAGTGGTATGACATTGTTTTTTAATGTATTCGGTGTTAGTTACTTAGAGGAGGTGAAGACTAGTTTGTGGGTCTAAATATTTTAACTGTTAGTACTTGTCCACAAGCTGTATTTGTAGCCGTCTGATATTTCGAAACACTACAAACATGTCTTGTTGATGAGTGCCGAAAACCAAAGCTTTGATACAAGGTTGCTTCAAAACATGTTATGTCAAATGCAAAGTTATATTCAATTTGGAGCTTTGTATGGATTGATTGACTTCAGGTCAGTATCCATCACGGAATGACATCAGTTGGTAAACTAATGAAAATCTGGAGGCAGTGAACGTCTGTTTCGTTCCAGTATGGGGCGCCTGAGAAGTGCACATCCATGACCCTGCCAGGGATCGAACTCATGACCTTCAGGTTTCGTGGTCAGGATGTTACGATTGTGCCACCAAATCAGAATCTTCCGGTTCACATTTTCCTTCTTCTGTCATTTCGTGATATGTTGAAATCTTCATCCAATGCCATTTTGAGTATTTATCCTCACGTTCGACTTGTCCCACTGGAAAGGGCTTCTTACTAGAACTTCGGTGAATATCATCGTAAAGCATGTCACTAATAAGCAGTAAATAGTAAGTCAATTTGGAAGTCAATAAATCCCTGCAAACCATCAAATTGAATTAATCTCCAGTGCTCATTTGTAAAATCCTTCACAATGAGATTTCCCAAAGTTCTAATGAGAAGTTATCTGCGATGGGTCAAGCAAAGTCGAACATCAGGACGAGTACTCAAGTATAGCATTGAATGAAGCCTGCGCTATATCACGTGCTGACGTAAATAGGGAAATGCGAACAATTGGAATCTGACACAGAGATTCAATAGTAACTTGCCAGCTGCGAAACCTGTAGGTCCTGGGTTCGACCCCTGCTGAGGTCATGGGTGCTCACTTCTGATGATTCCCACAACTATCCAGTGCTTTCACGCTCTCAGTAACTGTCCAACCGATGTTATTCCGTGTTGAATACCAACACAAAACTTAATATCCAGTTAAAAAACAACCTCAAAAGTATGGTTTGTTTCCTGAAGTATCGTAACTAAAGATTTTTTTACCAACTTCTACTCATTACTACTGAGACCTTCAAAAACGTACATGTCAATGGGATTTCGGTTTGTGTAACTTTGTTTTCCGCAACGTTGCCTTTAACATGATATCCAGTGTGCTGATGGAACATCTTTGACCAGCAGTCTCATTTATGGAGTTGACTCATTAATCTAGACCCTTGATTTTCATGGGTTCGAACCTTAAGTCATCTACAGAGGTTTGGAAATCCGGGTAGTATCATTAACCCTCACACAGTAGGTGTGGCTCGCTGGGTACTGCACAAACGTACATATGGTTGCTGAGTTCATTGTGAGTGTTTTTCTTCTTTTTGAGCAGTTTCATTTCAGAATCCTCTCTTTCTCAAGAATACATCACTAGGCATTTACGTCTAGTTCAAATTCTAATTCAGTGTGAAACATACACAATATTGATTCAAAGCAATCTGTTTTTACTAAAACCAAGTCTGTTCTTAGTTGATTCACTTTCATTAGATATTTTCTGGTTCGGTATGAATAAACAATTGGAACAAATTTATTTGTGTATTTTGATTTCAAAGGAATTCATAGTCATACGGTAATAATTAATCAATAACTATGTATCTTTATGTTTAGTGTGCATAAAAATTAAACTGTTCTAGGGTTGAATATTGAGGAGGTGTAATCAGTTTTGATTTACCGTTAAAACACACTTTCAGTCTAAATGTGTTCAAAGACTTTTGAAATGCGACATGATTACTAACTACTTTTTTGTTCTACAAGTGTGATTGCGTAATACACAGGTAAAAAAGAATTTTACTTCGTAGTAAGAAGGTTGGCGATTTCTAGAAAGTGGAAAAGTAATCTTTATCATTATAGTCTGAACATTCAGTGAAATCTATGAAGTGTTTCATTATATCTTGTTAGATCTTAGCATTAATTGGTAATATGCATTACAGTGTTGAAGCTTTCTCCAGAGAACCAGCCTCAGTCATCTCACACTACCAAAAAGTCGCTGGCTTAAATTGCACTTTAGGACAAATACCCCGTTGAATTTGTAATGTACGATTCTCCTCTAAGATGTAAACATTCAGTTTATAACTGAATATTCCCATTAAGATAAATACTACACTTCTGCGATGATTATAGAAAAAAGCCACAGTCTGAAGCACAGAAGACGTCCTTGACTACAAATTCTGCCTGATGTTTAGTCGATGACACTAAACTATTAGATTTTACCAGGATTACAACGCACTCTATTCTACTGAAAGTCAGTTGTGACAAGTAAAGTAAACAAGTTCTAAATATAGTAGAATTAGAAGATAGCGGAGTAAAAATGAAGTTGATACATTATGTTTTCTTGTTATCACCTGATCAAAAGTTCCTTTTAAGCGAAAACTGATCGAGACTGCAACAGAAGTGATATATCTGTAGCCTAAATTCAATAAATAGAGACAAGACTTTGATCAATAACGTTTATTGATATTCTATGTCAACAGCCTTATAGTAAGTGATTTTGGCTACACCGTACGTCAGAAAAACCGGTGATATTGCGATAAAATAAAGGCTCTGTTTATATATATATATATATATATATATATATATATATATATATATATATATAACTTGGGCACTGTGTTAGGAGTCATTTATTTAACATACAATGACAATATTATTTACTGGATGACGTTTCGAGCACAAATTATCATTGCTCATAACCATATAAATGTAATCACACTACTTTCGACATTTGATCCTTATAGTCGTTACTTCACATTCTTTGTTTTTAGTCGTATTCATGTTTTCCATATGTCTAGCGAAGGTGTTGCATGACTCCTATTACATATGTTGCATGTTGATTCAACGAAGAAAGATTCCGTAATCAATCTTTCTCTCTCCACCTAATTATATTCGACTTAAATAACGGTAGTTTTATCCCACCCTATTGTGTAGTTGTGTGTTAATCGATGCATTGCAATAGCCGCGTTACTTTCTAGATTATTGATCTTATTCGGGTCTGTCATTCCATATTTAGCTGAATTACTATGTTCCGTTAATCTAACTGATCCCGACTGGCTAGTTTGACCTATGTACTTGAACTCGCAATCACTGCATGGAATTTGTTAGATTAGATTATTTTGCTGAATTGGATCTGTCGGATCCTTGAGCCAACAAAGTTTATCTGTGAGAGGATTTGTAGGTTTAAATGCCAACCTAATTCCAACTTTGTTGAGGATTCTACCTGAAGTTTCCGATGTACCTCCCGATGGAGGCTGTGAACTCCTTCCTACGCGTGTGGTCGATATTATTCGTACTCTAGTTCTTGTTATTAGTTCGTTTTTTATGTGTTTGTACAAATTTCCTCATAAGATGTTATTATTATTATTATTGATATTTATCCCTTGGGCTCTTAGTGGAACATAGGGCTTCAGTACCACGTCGCCATTTCACTCTATTCTCTGCAGTCTTTTGAACCTGGCTCCACCACTGCCCACAAGCTCTCATTTCCCCCTCACACAATCTCCTCCCTGTCACCCTCACCTCGGACGACCAACTCGCCGCTTCCCATTCGGGTTCCACTCAACGGCCTGGTGTGGCCTGACGCGTGATGTCACCAAACCGTCCTCTCAGTGTATGTCCAATCCAATCCACCTCCACTTTCTTCTGAATATTTGTTTGACGATGGGTTCTTGGCTGCTTATTCTTTCTGGCCATCTCATCTCACCTCATCTCATCTCATCTGATCATCGGCATCGAGTGAGTGAGTGAGTGTAGGTGGCAGCTGTCGCTGAATGTCTGTAGTTTGTTCGAAATGCTTTTCGCAACGCGCCAAGTCTCTCAACCATCACACAGAAGCACTGACTTGACTGACATTAGTCTTGAAAATCCAAATGTTGTTCACACTTTATACTGAGTGCAGTAGATGTCCACACCGGTTTCAGATTATTGAAGGCCTCTGTTGCTATCTTCCAAATCCTGCTTTTGACAGCCTCATCTGTGCCACCGCCACCGCCTGTAGTTGGGATGATGTTTTCTCGCCTAGGTAGGTAGGTGAAAGAGACTACTTCCTTCAGATTTCTCCCTTGATGATGATTGGTGCTTGTCGTTGATGCTGCTGTTGGTTGGGTATCTTCATCTCCTCTGTCTTCTCTATGTCCACCTGAAGGAAGACCCGTCATCGTTGCTTCTTCAGTCAACTTGTTAGTTTTCGCCTGTAGATCTTCGAGTTTATGCCAGAAGATATTAGACATAAATCATCATGAGTGAACTCCAAATCTTGTAGTGTCTTATCATCGGTGCAGCTAGCGTATGCCCATCTTCTCGCCCCTCATCGCTTACCGCATGATCCAGTCCAGTCCACCACAATCAGGAAGATGATCAGTGATAGTAGGCAGCCTTGTCTTACTCCTGTCTTCACTTCAAAAGCGTTACTGAGCTTTCCAGTGAGAATCACTTGGCATGTAGTGTCTTCATATAGTTGTTGAATGAGATTGATAAAAGTTTGTGGTATTCCGTGGTGTTGAAGCAGCTCTCTGCCAAATTACTTTTTGTTCGATGCTGTTGAATGCCTTTTCAAAGTGGATGAAGTTGAGATGGAGATCCAGTTGACTGCCATTCTATACTCTGTTCTGTGATGATGCCTATCGTTGTGCAGTGTTGCAATTAGATGCACACATGATTTATTCTTTCTGAAGCCAGCCAGCCAGCCTGTTCCAGTCGTAATTTTGAATCGAGAGCATTGTTTAGTCCCTCGAGGATGATGCGGCATAATACTTTGCTTGCTTTGGGTGGACAGGAGCATGATTCTCCACCAGTTCTTGCAAAGACTTCGGTGTCCCTTGTTTGGGAGTTTGACATGGTAGCCCTATTTCCAATCAATGAGCAGGTACCTTTTCTTCCTTCCAAACCTTCTTCAATGGAAGTGGTGTGAGCATGTCAGCTTTTGTCTCTGTGTATGTATCCAGTGCTTCTGGTGGAATTCCATCTGGTGCTGCTGGTTTACTGAATTCAGTAAGTTTATGGTGTTCAGGACCTTGGCTTTTACCAGAGGGGTTGTGTTCACTGGTAATTCTGCGGCTGGTGGTAGTTTGTATTTCTGGACAAGTTGCCGATGGTGGTGGTTGATTCAAGAGTTTTCTGAAGTGGTCAGCCCATTGTTTCCTTTGTTGCTCCTTTTCGTGGTAACTAAGTTTCCTTCACTATCTTTCATTGGTTTCATCTGTGTTGATCTCTTCCCTCCTAGATAGTAACCTGGTTATTTGATATAATGTTGTCAGGTCTCTCTTACCTGTAGCCTGTTATGTTTCACTTGCCAGTGTATCATAGAAGTGTGTTTTGTCTTTGTGCGGACTCTTCTTCACTTCTTTGTCCATTGCAGTGTTTTGTAGGTTGTATTCAGTTCTCTTTACGTTGTTCATCCTTGCACTGCACTGACTCATCTTCTGCTTCACCATCTTCCTCTGCCTCCTGTATCAGCTTCGATGTGTCCGTTGAAATCCATTCTTTGTCTTGTTTCTTCTTCTTCCTTCCTAATACGGTTATGTGGGTTTCTTTGCGTGTGTTGTTTCACTGAGTTGTAGTGTTCTTGCACCAGGTTTCTTCAGGAATGTTGCTTAATGTGTCCCATTTTTTCCTGATGACTGACTGACTGACGTGAAGATGTTTTTTGAAGTTTCGTGCTTCAGTTTCTGTTTTGGGTGTTGAACATGAACTGTAGTCTATGATCACCAGCTTCTTTGAAGGCTTTCCACTTGATTTTGAATGTATGTTTCATGTACTAAATAGTGAGTGGTGTGAACCTTGATGTGCTCCCACTCTTGATGTTGTGTCCAGTAGGCTGCATCTCCACTTTCTTCGCATTGAGATGAAGTGGATTTGATTTTTGGTGTGTCCATCTGGTGTCTGGTGAAATCAAATTCATGTCGCTGCCTTGTGAATGTCCTTGTGTTTGTACACACTACCTGCAATGACCAAACCGTTGAATGTGCAGAAATCTGCAAACAGTTCTGTATTGTGGTTCATTTCACCGAGTGCTTCTCGACCGATGATGAGTACTCTTCGTGTGTTATGTGCTCCCAGTTTGGCATTCATGTCAGCCCACCCATTAGAATTTTGATGTCTCCATCTTGGCTGGTGTCTTGTCCAGTAGTGATTTCAGTTGTCTATAGAATTCCTCCTTCTTCTCTTGATGAGGATTATTTGTAGGTGCGTAGGATTTGCATTGTACGATTGTGACTTTCCTTCCTTTTGAGTTGAATGTTGGTGTCATGATGCTGGAGGATGAGATTGGTTTCCACTGTATAAGAGAGAGAGAGAGAGAGAGAGAGCCTTTGATGCTGTTTGGGATATCATGATAGCCACTGGAAAACTCATTGTGGTGGTGGTTGTGGTCTGAGTGACAATATGGGAGTAGATTATTGACTCTGGAGTTGACAGTTTGGAGAGTCCACTTCCATAGAATCTGGTTTTTCAGATTTTTCACACTTGAATGCGATATCTTCTCATCTCTTTTGCAATCTGTGCAGCCTTTCTAGGATGAAACATTGTTCCCATTCTTACTTTTGGTTTCATCGAGAGAAGAGACATCGGCGATTTGGCTTCCTGATGGTTTTCACCAACTGGCGTCATTTCGCCTCTCTGGTTCCAGTGAGGAATAAGTTTGTTTTTATTTTTAATATTTTCTTTGTTCTTTGAAGTTTGTATGAGGATTGGATTGGTTTTGTGGGGTAGGGTTGCTAGCCGTATGCCAGACCTTGCCTCTTTATCCGTGCTAGTAACTAGTGAACTAGTTACCTAGGCGAGA